GACATTGCCGACCCCAGCCTTTTGTGAGTATTATATATTTTGTATTTGATATACTCCAATAAACATTATTATTTTCATGGCCAAAATCAATACTTCTCAAAGTTACGTCCTGGATGCTTTAGCAACATTTTCTAGGAGCCGGTTGCGATCAGTGGTCTATCGAGTAACCCAATTGGGCAGACTAACTTTAACACGATTTTATGTCTATATTGTTAGTGATGATGATTGCTTTCTCTGCAACAATTTATACGACTACGACATATTTTCCCATCCTATACACCTTCTAAAGAAAAATTCACAACAATCTGGCGGATCTTGGGTACAAACAAAAGCGAAATCTCCCATAGAGCCAAGTCTAGATAAGCGAATGGCCGATGAGAAACGACCTGCAACCGTTCAGATCGATACGATCGGCTTTGGTCGACGGACCATGGAGAATATTATACGGTGGGTCTGTTTGTGTGTATGTGCGCGTTTCTGCCGGGCCATATATCATCTCCAATGCGAATTATCACCTGTTGTCGATGGGCGAGATTTGTTGAAATGAAAATCGCTGCGGTTAGAGATTCACTTTTGTTTGACCTGCATATCGGTTATCTGGTGCGCTACTGTAATGCGGGTATTTGCTAAATTTGACAAGCATTTTCGTATATAGCATGGCTTCAAGTATCTCTGACTGCAACACAGGATTCAAGGTTGGTAATATTTAGGGGAAATCGGGACAGCATCAGGTAGGCATCAGAACATACCGCGTTGTCCCGGTATTTAGGCTATTGTCTGCGCGGCAGCTTCGGTATAAAAAAGAGCCTCCTGAACATTACATTCTGGTAATGGAGCAAGCAGATGCTACGGGTCTCTTGGATAAATAACGATCTACGTCTTTTTTTTGGCAGGGGATTTTTATTACTCTGTCCTCCTTTCATGCACCAAGTGTGAGAGCCTCCAGAAGCGGCATACCCCTAAAACCCCCAGTCGCTAGAACGGTATGCAGCGTTCCCTCATAGAGGGTAGCGTTAGGTGCTCATACCAAAGGTATCCAAATCATCTCCAACCTGTAGGTTATATCCGTACAAATGTACATGTACCACTGAGCAAATAGGAATCTATTATCGGTTCCTTGGTCTGTTTTTGTCCTCATGTACCTCGCCACCTCACTATTGCTTGAACATCAACTCAGTTGTCATCAGTGAGTCTCTCACCGAGTGTCAATTGAAGCCGTATCTCGAATTCACCTCATCTACTACATTCACTGATTAGCAGTATACTCCTCTTGGTCGCAATAGATGCAGTTCGCGTGCTCTCTCTCCAGGTAGCTGTCAAAACAGCCATGTCCTATGACAAAATGCAAGTTTTAATGTCCACACAACATAGCCAGTTATATCCCATCTCTCCTGTCATCAGGCAAAAAGCGCGTCTCTTTCACCGCTTCTGGCTTCGGCGCCCTCTTTGCAGAGCGTAAATCAATTGGCGGGATACCAGCCTTCACCAGCTATTTAAGGCTGGAGATCGTTCTGTAAGCACAAACCACCCTACATAGTCGCATTTTAGTCTTAAATCTCGTCGTTCTCAGCCTTAACAGCTAGTGAAGTTAACTTATTCTTCCAAAAAGTATAACCGCTCTCGAATAATAAATTGCAAGCCATTTGCTTGCATCCAGATGGTAATCGTCATGACTCCATATACCAAAAGCCTTTTAGGGTACCTGTTTCTTAATTAGTGACTACCACCGCCTGGTCGTCAGCCGTCATTCTTACCGGAAGCATCTACAACCGATGTACCCCATCATAAAACACGTAGTTACCCGTAGAGAAAATCTTAGTCCTAAGAATCTCGATGCTTCCTCCCCCCACTTCTATAACTTTTGCTAGTGGCCAAGTAGAGCTGCGAATTTCACTCTACTTTCCATAGTTACAGCTCTAACAATCACCTTGGCGTATACTACCAAACTACCAAAATACAGATGCGTTGACATCTGAATAATACGAGGGATGTCTTTTAAGTTTTGCATATAGAAACATAGTCGGCCGCCCGGATCGAACGTCAGTACTGAATCTGAACCTCACCCTTTAGTAAACTTAAATTCAAAGTTTCACAACAATACGTGCAGTGTTCTCACTACAGTGAATTTTTAAGTGTCACCAAGTCATTAGAAAAATGGAACTCTACCGAGAAAATTTTCGCGCCATAATTTATTACAACTTTCAGAGACAATTATCGCAACAGGAATGCCTTGCTGAGCTACTGTCTGTTTTCGGCAACGAAGTGCCACATCAGTCGACAATTTCCCGTTGGTATAGAGAATTCAAACGTGGACGGGTGAGTCTTAGCGACGATCTCAGGCTGGGTGCACCAAAACCGGCAGTCACCCAGGAAAACGTCGATGTTGTGCGCAAACTCATCATTGAAGATAGACGTGTGACCATACCGCGAGATTGAGGCGTCCTTGCAGATCTCGAAGACCTCAATTCAAAAAATTTTACATGAAGCATTAGGAGTAAGAAAATTATTTTCTCGTTGGATACCTGTTGACTGAAGAGCAGAAAGCAGCCAGGGTTAAGTGGTGTCAAAAAACGCTTTACCGTTTCAATTCCGCAAACTCAAAAAATGTGTACAGCATTGCTAGTGGTGATGAATCGTGGATTTACTGTTATGAACCAGAAAATAAACGGCAGTTGGCTGTTTGAGTGTTCCAAGGTGAAGAAAAGCCAACAATAGTAATCCGTTCTTGAAGTGTTTCGAAATAGATGGTCGCGACATTTGTGTCAAAAGCGGGTCATATTGCAAAAATTCCTCTAAATGAGCAAAGAACTGTTACTGCAGATTGCTATACCATCATTTGTTTGCCAAAAGTCATCACCGAGCTTCGAAAAATCAACCCCAAAAGAAGAATCATCCTCCACCAAGGCAATGCAAGCTCGCACACAGCCCAAAAAACAAGACAGTATTTAACGGAAGAAAACGTGGAATTATTCGACCATCCTCCATATAGTCCCGATCTAAGGCCTAACGATTTCTTTACTTACCCGAAAATTAAAAACAGACTGCGTGGTCAAAGGTTCCAGTCACCAGGAGAAGCAGTTGACGCATTCAAAAATGCCATTTTCGATCTGCCAGCAAACGAGTGGAATAAGTGCTTCGAAAATTGATTCGAGCACATGCAGATGTGTATTAATCTTCGTGGAGAATAATTCGAAAAACAATAAAGTCATTTAAAGCTACCCACCGTGTTGTTTTATTTCCATATGCAAAACTTAAAAGACATCCCCATATGTCAGGGTCCCTGACACCTTTTGCAGATATTTCTATGCATATCGTTGGAAATTCCTGGATAGTATGAGATTTCCTTAAAGTTACTCAGAATGCCTTGGATTTTCTTGGATTACCTTGGAATCTCCTCGACCTCCTCAGATCGCCTTAGGTTGCCACGGTTCAGCCTGGATTACCTTAGACCTTTTTGCTCTTTTCTTGGGTTTCCTTGACCTGCTTCGAATTGACCTGCTTTTACTGGAATATACATATATAATATTAAAGATTTGGATCTCTTCATATTGCATCAGATACGAATATCCACGTTTATAACGGTATAGATACATGTACGCATAAGTAGAAACCGCAGGTATCTAATAGCATTATGTAGTAGTCCACCATTTCAAATATGGTATGGTTACTCGTCAAATTCAAAGTGAATTGAACCAAGAGTCAATATAAAGGCAGTAGGCTGTGTGTGTCCATACAGTCGTCTAAGCATCGTTTTAATTTCAAACAGCCTTTAATAGTACCTAAATATTAACATGACAAAAACCCGGCATTACCATAAATGCAGAGCCAGACAAAGAAAAAAAGTCTTCAGCTCACGGTTGAGGCTGCGCGCATATATTTATCTTGATGATACGATGGTGTCCGACAAGATCTTACCTTAGGGACGATATTATGCTACCGAGGACGTATGAATTGTAACTATCAGGAGAGACTATCCAAATCCGATAGAGTAAAACCGTCGTCTTGTTTATTATTCGGTGATAATTTGTCACAGCCCTTCTCCATTTACAATATATCCTTTGAAATGATTAGTGTCTCATACATGATGCTATAGTCACCTATAATATGGTTGTATATGCTCATACAGACAGCGCCATCTATGAAACGCATACCTTATCAAGGTATACATAGTCAATAGAGTAACAGCTGTCACAGAGTCTCATAGAGGGCGCTACGGTTTCTCATTTAATCTGGAATGATCTTTTGGATAATCAAATATAGCATTAAGGTAGCTATGTTCAGGTGAAACTCTGGTACCGTTCTACTGCAACATGCCCGTTTTATTAGCACAAATTTTAGATGCCTATGCCTCCTTAGGGCTGCCATTTTTCCTACGCTGACGTAGGACTTTGCTGTATTTTGGAAGCTGGAAGAAAACCCAAATTAACTACCGATTCTTGAAGTACTATCGAGGTGTATGTATAATCTCGCACCGTTGCCGGTGGCAGTCAAATTAAACTCATAAGCTTGCTACCGTTACGGCGCGTGACACGTAACCTTATCAAAAAATGCATTCTCCTGCACGTATTTGAATATCAAACTTGTAACACAGATCTCCTGATAATTCGTCATATTATTTGAATAAACTAAAACGTAGCAAAAAAGCGATAATCGCGCGAAAAAACTAGCTGATGTGTCGCAATAAGCACGTGTCTTGTGGGTTCCGTTTCATTGTTTGAATCTGGAACAACAACGGCAGAAACTTCGTCAAGCCTAGCGTCAGCGTTGTGGACCAACGCTGCGGAATTTCTGTTTATGAACAGTTTAACGTTAAGCATGGCTCATGGACGTTAGAGTTTAAATATCGACCTTACGATTTCCAAGATTTTTTCAACACTGGCCAGCGTAGAGTTGCAATCAGGCGTTCATGACGGGTGCATAACATTCAATCTTGACACGAAATCTTCTTTGAAGTCAAGGTCATATTCGGGCTACAATTTGCATGGTTTTTCTATTTTCAGTATAAAAGATATATATTGTTTGGAGGTTGTTGTCTTGACTGGAAGATCGTGGCCAAAGTCACGGTCGTCGTGCTCAGTGTCACGGTCAAGTTCGGAGTCAAGGGCATAGTCAAGGTCATGACAGAAGTCATGGTCAAGGTTAAAGTTGTGGTTAATGTCATTTTCAATACCATGTTCAAGGTCATGGTCAAGGTGATGTCCACATCTTAGTCAAGGTCACTGGCATGATCAAGATCATGGTCATGTTCAAGGTAGTGCCCAAGGTCATGGTCAATGTCGCCTCTGAGTAATCCCCACAAACTTCACAGCTGTGCTGCCGAACGTTTTTTATAACTTGTTTTCTGTGCCCTTAATTTGTCCTCAAATTCGCTTGAAGTCCATGGTCGAGGTCATGATGTTCGGTCGTAAAGTTTGCTCTTTTTTTCAGTTCCGATGTGAAAAGAGTTCCGTTTGTAAATATTCACTTTACCTTGAGCATGCCTTGGAGGTCGTAGTGGAATTTTTGCTTGAATCTTTTACAAGAATTCGCAATTTTTGAAATATTTTAGTGTGGATACTAAGATGGGACTGGGACTCTATATCTGAATTTCACATTGTTCCAGCAGTATATTCTTTTGCTCCTTCCTATTTTTGCATACTTTGCATGGTCATGTCTGGGTAGCAGTTAAGTTAATAACTCAGTAGTAATTCTTTTTGGATATCCCCGGTGTAAGTAAAAACTTTTCGACTCACGGACCATCCAAATCTGCCTTTGAGGGCGCACAAAATTATAATATTAATGGCGTTCCGTGCTGTACGGCTCTTTTTAACATCCACGTCCACTAAATTTATTCATCAAGCTTAATGGTACGCGACGCGACGGTAGGTGGTGAACTCATTAATATAAAATTAAGGATTCCCCGCATACCCTTGTCTATATATACTGACTAATAAAAAACCTAAAGGAACAGAAAAATAATCTGGAAGAATAAGTTATTGTAAAAGACGAGTAGCTTTTCTTAGTAATACATGCAACGTGGTACTACGCAGATTTCAAAAAACCTGAAATATAAGTGAGACTTGCCTCCAGAGAATCGTTAGGTGAAAAGGTACGACGCGCCACGAAGCCAACCTGAGCTGTTCTTTCATCAGTCGGATTACAAAAAATGGTGTCAAGTAGATTGACTCTGTACTTGCCATCAAATCTTGAGAAATGAGCTCTGTTTATGCATCATATATATTGTAGTATATGCAGGGTCGTCTTAAGCGATGCAGGGGCCCTGGGCCCACAGGCGCTTGGGGCCCCCAAAAAAATCGAAGACAGGCGTACTTCTAATAAAACATATTTATTGAATTAGAAATTGCCTTACAACAATATGATGAGCTTTTTCCGTGATTTCGTTTGGAAAAAATCTTCAATGATGTCGTCAAACTCCAATTGCTACAAAATGTCACTCTCTATAGACATAAGGGACAAACTGGTGAGGCTTTCTTGTGAAATGGACCTTCTTGATTAATTTTTTGTTAGTGACCATTAGACACTGGAAAATTCTTGTTGCAATTTCCACATTTGGGAATGTTCCCACCAGTTTGTCCCTTCTCAAGATGCCGGAATACTTGCAGCCGATTCATTTTTCAAGGTGAGCAGACAATGTTGCAAAAGTGAACATTCTGAGGTCAGTTCAGCTTCACTGATGTCTTCATGATATACTTTAGAAAATTCCTCACATTTTTTTGTTAACTGATCATCATCAATTGCTCTCAATTGTAAAAGAAGAAAAAAAGCAATGTGTTTGATGTCATTTTTGACGGCTTTTCAAGTTTGTTAAAAATATCTCTTTTTTGTGTTGTGAGAAGAACCACTCGTTTCATAAGCTCAGGTACAACAAAAAGGATCAGTATTGAAATTTTTTCAAGCCACTTTTACATAAAAAAAATCCAAAAAATTCTTCTGTAGATATCAAAATATTGTTGAATTGACCCTGAATACAGTAATATGGTAATGCACCGTTGATATGTGCAGAAAAAATCTAAAGAATAATACCAAAAACCAATACGAAAATATTGAGCATTTTCGAAACTATGGTCCAAAACTGACCTGCATCATAATAGCGCAGTAGTTTTTACCAACATCAGAAAATAGCGTAACAAAAACACCATTCTTACTGTCCGAAGTCTAACCTATAACACTACTTTACTAATTTATAACGAACTTGTAACTATGTTGACTGGATGGTTTCGACCAATCGGCCGCTATTCGTTCAGTGTTTCGACTGCGACTGTCTGCTTCCGTTATCTGGTAGGGTATTTATTCCCCTATATATGAATCGAGAACCATTCCAGCATTTTCCCGGTCGAATACCGCCCTCCCATGAAAGTAGTCTAGATGGCAGAAGATTAATCTCCATACGTGTCGAATACTCGCTTCGGCGTTCCAAACGGATCAGAATGCGACTAACATGGATGCGTAATTCTGGTTGCCCAAGTGTCGATCCCACTTCTGTCCACTGGCCGAAACTTCTAGCTGATGTATGAGGGTGCGTCTCACTTAAATATGAAAAATGTTTATTAGCTATAAACAGGTAACCCACATCCCACCAATTATCTGTAGCGATTAACAAAGCGTGTTCATGTCAATTCATATGGTCCATAAACATGAGCCACAACGAATAGTTTCTCAGTAAATGTCGGCCAACAATTAAAACTGACTGCTCGCCGCACTCTTTCTTAATTGACAAGTTGCAATGTCTAATCTTAGATGCATTGAACTGCGTTGTAGATACGTATTCCTACAGCTCCAGTTAGTGATGTTTTGAGAGACAGTTTTTCAGATTTCTCTACAACACATCTAGAAAAATTAATGTACAGTAGTCAGTGCTGGATTCAGAAGAGATGTCTGTGGAGCTCTTGTGTTGATGTTATAGAGGAAAGGAACTGTAGGCTATGGAACCTAAGAAAAAGCTCATTATTCATCGCCGAAGCCTCATTGAGGGTGCATGATTTGGGAAAGCAATGTCAAAAGCAACGAAGCAGCTTATTTCTCTCAGAGGCCATCTAATGACGCATAGAACAAAAGTTCATTGAGCTCATGTTACGCTACAAAATGACTGCACTCACCGAAAAAATCAAGATATTGGATATATGGATATATACGGAGGTGGTAGACAAGGACCAGTCGACCGAGGCGGTACCACCCGCTAGCTTCTCCCAGGGTGTCTTATAAATGTCCGCATGTTTCCTCACCTAAGCTATGCAATCGGTTATCCTCCAAACCAAAGAAATTAATGATGATGGATCCCTCGAGCACTAAGAGAACTCCAGACGTAAACTCACTCCACTCTCGGAATGTCCGGGTGGAGGGTGGGCTCGAGGGAACAACATCGACGATAAAATTTGTTTTTCGAACATCTGCGGGATTAACAGCATCATGGATGCTGTTCATCACTACCTGCAATCCAATCGTCCCGCCGTGCTTTTCTTGGCGGAGACAAAAATCTCAGAATCTGCACCGATTAATCATCTTAACTTCCCAAACTACGAGAAAGAACGGGGGAGTTGTGGCTTTTGTCCGCAGGAGTCTTTCCCGCTCTAGAGATGTTTCTTTGGAATCAGACGGGAAAGACATTCTGTGGCTTCGCCTCAACTCCAAAACATCACCCAAATTTATTTGCTGCCTTTATCGCTCTCCCTCGGACCATAACTGGGATGACCTACTCGAATACCTCGCCGTCCAGATCGACTTCCTGAACATGAATCATCCCGCTTCAGAGGTAGTTCTTCTCGGTGATTTCAACGCCCATAATGAGCTTTGGAAGGGCTCAAACAAGACCGACGCAGCAGGTCGTGCAGTCGAAGCGTTCGCTCTTACTCAAGGGCTGACCCAGCTGGTGACGAGCCCTACTTATTTCCCCCGCGTCTCGTCACACGCCAGTAGCCTGCTGGATCTCTTACAGAACTGCTGTCCTGTCCCCCGTGGGTAACTCAGATCACGGTGTTGTGGAGGTTAGGTTTCGGTCAGAAGCCGCTGTGGCAGCAGAAACTCGCACAGGCCGCAAAACTTGGCATTACGGACATGCCGACTGGGAGGGGCTCAGAGACTTCTTCTCTAGCTTTCCTTGGAGAGCTGTCTGTTTCACTGACGCGGATGCGTCGACTGTCTGTTCTTCAATAACCGAAATTATCCACGTCGGAATGGAGGAATACATCCCTCACACAGTGAAAGTTCCTAAACCAGGGTCCAACGGCTGGTTCAACAAATCGTGTGACACTGCTCGCCAGCAGAAGATCAAGGCACACAAAACCTACTTACAAAACCCCACTATAGAGAACAGACAAGCCGACGTGGAGTCCAGAAACAAATATAACGAAGCGGTTCGCAATGCCAAAAACCAGCACGATATAAAAGTTAGGCATAGGGTAATGTCGCAGCGCAATGGCAGTCGGTCTTACTGGACGCTGGCCAAGCAGATTGAAAGGAACTTCTCACACAGTAGCCTTCCACCACTTTAGTGTCAGGATGGAACTATTGTATTCGACTCAAAGGCCAAGGCGGAAGTGCTAGCCAAGATCTTTGCTGCCAACTCCACCATGGACGTCCCCACCAACGCCCAAGTGCCGTCAATTCAAAGGGTTCCACACACTATGGGAGAGGTAACATTCAGGCAAAAGATCGTAAGACGAGTGCTCTTGTCGCTCGAAATCAACAAAGCTTCTGGTCCGGACTTGATTCCTGCCATTGTACTGAAGAGATGTGCAGCGGAGCTTGCTCCAGTTCTTTCGCGTCTCTTCCAGATATCTTATGAATCCGGCACCTTCCCAGAAAACTGGAAATTTGCTCATGTACAGCCCATCCCAAAAAAAGGATCTAAGACCGACCCTTACAACTACAGCCCTATAGCTCTGCTTTCTGTTATAAGTAGGGTGATGGAGAAGTGCATAAATTGCGAGCTTCTGGACTACCTCGAACGTCACGGCTTAATTAGCGACAGGCAGTATGGTTTCCGGCACCAACTGTCTACAGGGGACCTCCTAGTCTACGTCACGCAATTGTTCTGTCCAGACTGATCGATGACTCTTCTCTAACAGACAGTCTCGGGACTCTTTCGCACCGGCGGGCAGTCGGCGATCTGGCTCTTTTCTACCGTTACACCAACGGGCTTTGCACCTCAGAGCTCTCTTCCATGATGCCGTCGCGCGATGTGCCTGCCAGACAGACCCGCCTGACTTTGGCG